GTCGTGAATATTGGCAGACGTTAGAACTTACGAGCCATTGGATCGGGTCACAGAGGCTTAAAGATCAACGAACTCGCCTTGTAACCAGAAGGTCATGGGTTCAAATCCTGGTGTTGGGTGTGTACTGTGAAGAGTCCTGAACTAGGAGGGAACAGCTGTCTAGTACTCTCAGCTGGTTTTCCAATGGTTCTCTAAATGATGTCAGCTCATGATTAAATCCTGTAACTTCTATACCATATCTCAGAATTTCGTTCGTAGTGTGTACAGCCTTTCCACCTTCAAACATTTTATAGACACACTGACTGGCTTCCCGAAGGCTTCCAACAACCGGTATCAATTGTTTTGTGTACTTTGAAGTTCCAACAACAATGGAGGTTATTTTCTATAGGGTTCAGTGACTAGCCTTACGCTCAACCTTCCCCCTCCTTTCTCCAAAGCTTAGGACTAGTTAGTATATACTGGGTAACAAAGTGTTACCTCTCACATTTTTATGTAACAAAAGCGTCTTGTTTTAATTTGTTATCCTTTGAGATAGAAGAAACTTCTGTAGGATGAGGAAAAAGGGATTTTTTATAAAGATGAGGTAATAATCAAATTATATCTTTTCCTATTTAATAGGAATTATCACAACAAAATGAAATGCTACAATAATTCTTTGTTTTTTTTCAGTCCTGCCTATAAAGTCAGACAAAAAAATTTGCATTTCCTCGGTGTAAGATTCATTTGGCTAGGGGTTGTTTTCGAAAACATTCTATTTTCATATTACATAATATTACTATTATTATTAAGGAATGAGAGAGAAAAAACAACTCGCATTTTGCCTAAAGTGTATCAAGGGAATTGTTCGACAATGTTTGCTTTTAATAATAATAATAATCATAACAAGTTTCACTAGAGAGAGAGTAATTACTGGCATGCGTCTATAGTCCTTGGCACGGCATGGCATAGCATGGCTGTGATTCAATCACTGAGGTAGGTGATTTGGCTGAGCAGTGCACCCTGAATTCATAAGGTGTTTGGTTGGAGGATTTCATCATCGGCTGACATTGGTTAGAGAACCACTGGAAAACCTGGGAGTACTGCAGAAGGCTATTTCGTCCTAGTTTCGGACTCTTCATCAGTACGCACCCACAGCCAGGGTTTGAACCCAGGACTTTCTGGTTACAAGGTGAGCTGGCTCGTAGACCACTAAGCCACTGATGTCAGCTCATGTTGAAATCCTCCAACCAAGCAAACAAAATCCCTACAAAGCCAATACTTGTTTGACGTTTGGAGGCCGTTGGTAAAAGGCAATGTGGGTAGGTTTCATGCTTGCCCCTAACAATCGATATGACATTTCTGCACCTACGTTCTTAATTTGTAATTATGCAAACTGACCAGTTTTCCAGTAATTATAATCTTGTTATGTCTTTTCTACCCAATCTTTCTGATTATTACACTTAGTAATTTTATTAATTTAACCTTTGATCGGAAATAATTCTGGAACCTTCTCACACATATAATGTAAATACACGAATGTACGGCCTACTTGATGACTTCGTCGGAAAGAAAGTTTTTTTCTCTGCAACCGTCTTCTCAATAATCCCTATGATCCAATGTATATACTCCACGTCTGTGGCACAGCGGTAGAATGGTCGCCATCCACGCATGAGGTCCGGGGTTCGAACCCCAGCCGACGAACTTCTTCACATCGCTAAGCCATTAATAACAGTGATAAAGAGGCTCTATGTTCCACTGGGAATGTAACGGAATAAAAACATTTTTTTAAATGTGTATATTCTGTGATTTCTGCATCCCTGAAGGACTTAGTGTTCTCTCTACGAGATTGAAAATTGTGTCAAATAGTGTTACAGTCTTAGACGTTACCACTGAGCTATTCCGGGTTTTATTAATATATATAGTTCAGTCCCCTCCTTTCATGAATTATAAGTCTGTTATGAAGGGAATACAACCTACCGTTCACATCTTCGCAACGTTTACAAACATTGGAGCAAAACTTTATACTCTATACTAAGAAATTTCATATATTTTACCACTTAAAAAAGGGAATGAAAGTGCGACACTTTCGGATGCCTTCCGCTTTCCAATTATTTTACACGTCAGTAGGATCCATCTTAACTTGAATGCCATGATTTATGTGATTTCCAACTCTTAACTACTCTTAATTGAATTTCAGATTTTCCCGTCGATTGATTGGATGAGGTTGAAATGTCGGCTTCTTTTGAAGATGCTTCGAAGATGTCTGAGCATGTAATTAGAATTTAATTGGTGGATTGTGACTAGCAGTGGAATCCAGGATAACGTGCATTTCGTCCTATTTGGGACTCGTCATCTGGATGCTAGTCACTATCCACCAGTTAAATTCTAGTTACATGCCCAGACATCGTTGAAGCATTTGCAAAAGAAGCCAACATGTCAACCGGAGACCGAGCACTTTGGTCCAATCAGTCGGTGGGAAAACCTACAATTCAATTGAATAATTAATATGACCCGTTGCACAAGAGGTGGCTTGCAGGTACATCCAGACGACGAGTCTCAAACAGGACGAAATAAGCATCCTGGATTGCACTCCTAGTCACCATCCACCAATTAACTACTTTTATTCTATGTAAATGCTTAAGTGTCAAATATTGATCTAAGAACAGAAATTAGAGAACATGGTAGAGTATGATTCTATCACAGGGTACATTTGTTTGATAAGAGCACACTATGATAATGTATTCTTTACTTTTAATGTTTTGAGCACAATATATCACTTATCACCAAATCAAGGTGGCAATATAACTTCCAAACTTCGTTATTTAACCGGTAGCAGTAACTTCCAAATTTCTGGTGCTGGCGTCGTGTTATTTCTATTCCAAGTGTTAGGTGTACGTACAGTGAACAAAGATTCACTGATCAAAGGATCCCCTCCAATCAACTATATTACTATTCAGAGCTTTTACTCTGTTTCACTCAATTATGTGATTGTGTTTTAGTGCGTTGCAACTATTATTATTATTGTTCCCTTGGATTCCTAGTGCAACATAGGGCTTCAACTGTGCACGTCTCCACTTGCTTCTGTCTTCTGCTGCATTTTCCACTTGCATCCATATTAGTCCATACTGTTTCAATTCCTCTTCACACGATCTCCTCCATGTCATTCTTGGACGTCCCACTCACCGCCTCCCTTTCGGCTTCCACTCGAGCATTGGCCTGACGCGCGATGTCACCCAGCGGCCTCCTCAGCCAGTGAGTGTCAAAACCATCTCCACTTTCTCCTACATATTTGTTGAGCGATTGGTTCTTGTTTTGTTTGTTCCCATAGTTTCTTGTTGGTGATTCTTTCCGGCCATCTGATCTTAAGTATAGAGCCAGCGAAGACAGTTGTTGATAAAGGCCTGCAACAGGCTGTTGGAAATATTCTTTGTGACTCGCCAAGTTTCTGATCCGTATAGAAGAAGAACTGACTTGACGTTTGTATTGAAAATCCTAAATTTGTTGTTGAATCTGAGGAGTGACGAAGATTTCCAGATTGGTTTCAGGTTGATGAATGTGTTTCTCGCCTTCCCGATTCTCGATTTGACATCCTCGTTCGTCCGTTCCTCCTGCAGTTGAGACAATGCTCCCTAGATAATTGAATGAAGTGACCTCTTTCAAATCCCTCCCGTTGGTGGTGATTGTCGCTGGATGTTGCTGCTGTTGTTGTTGTTGGTTGGTTATTTTCATAACCTTCGTCTTGTCTATGACGTCTTGCTACAGAAACTTCAACGCACAAATATATATTTCTGAATGTACCTTACGTAATATTGATTTTATTCAAATGTCTAATCATCAATTTTACTCATGTATATAAATGAAGCAAGAACGTTGTGTAAGTAACTTGATATAATTATGAGCAGTGTATAATTTGTGCTCAAAACATGATCATCAGTAAATATTACTGTACTGTACAACACTGTGTGATTAATCATCATAAAATCTTATCCATAATGGAGTTATACTCTAGCACCACAGTGCCCAAGTTTTATACTTATATCAAGAAATCTCTCCGTCGCCCTCACTATCTCTCTCGCAGCTTCTGTTTATTTGTCTATCTCACTATGCGCTTGTACTCACACCAATAACGGCAACAAAAACAACACCCAATCATCACAAAATCAGGTGAAAAACATGTCGACTCTACTAGCGTTTGTTATTATATTCATGTAAAAAAGAATACAGAGTCAATATAGCATAGTGTTACAATGTGCAATAAATAAAGTTTCTGTGCAAATATGTATATATAATCTTGGTACAAGTTTTTTTTTCAATGTTTTCAAGTTGATCTCAATCAAATGAGAGATCTGAAGGAAGCAAGGAAGAAAAAGTAGAGGTGAGATCATTCACACCAAAAAAAAGAACACGAAAGTACAAAGAATAAGAAAGACTCTTCGAAGAGAAAGAGAAGAATTGATGAAATGGGCGACCTTCTTGAAAACAAAATGACCAAAAAAGAAAAGAAAATTATCAACTCGTATAACAAAATCCTATATGTATGTTTACTCACTGTCAGTGCGAGTGATTACGCAAGTAAATAATAGTAATGATAATAATAAGAATAATTAAAATAATTAGAAAGAGCTTATTTGGCTTATTTTGATCATAATAGCTAATAGTCAGTTATCTTCGTAAAATTATCTTCCATAAAACATACTACTCATTATCCCGAATAATAAGTAGTACACTCGTAGTAAGGATAAAAATTAGAAAATGTACTACCATAGCTATTGAATTTTATTGTGTTAATGTTTACAAAAAAGCTAAACATATCTCCAGTAAAAAAAATTGAAGGAGAGCTGATTGCATGAAAGACTTGATATAACAAAAATAATAATAATAATTTGAACCACAGGAAGCTTAATATATTGGGAGGCGTATTGATTTTCTGTGAATATCCGCTCACTCTCTGCATTCAAGTAGATATCCATGATGGGCAGAATAAGGAGGCACTTCAGTATTTCATCTACTCCAGTATTCTTTTAGTGTTGTCTCACTGGAATCCTTGAAGTAGAATAAGATCTTGTCGATACAGGGATCAATGATCCACGTCTTGATTGGCTCTCCATAGAAATGATCTGACCATTATGATCTTTGTTACTGTTGTCACTATATCGACCAGCACTAGTCATTAGATGATGCCTTCTATTCATCATCATGTCATCAACATTATCAAATCTATCATAGTTTTCATTCTCCTCTGAATTGTAAACAATTTGTACTGGTTTATAATCAGATTGAGGATCAATGTGTTTGGTTGATGTGGAACTGGACACTGCTTTACCGGTTTTCGATGCTCGAATAGGCGGTGGTGTCTTAGGACTGAAAACACTACTGAATTTGCCTCGTTTTGTTTGACTTTTACTCTGATTACTAGCAGTGGTATTATTATTACTATTAGATGCTTTTGAGTTTTGTAGGGCAGATTTCTTCCCCTTCATAGGATAATCAGCTGTAATCAGTGTGCTTCTCGTCAGTGCTGAATACTTTCTTGAAGTAGCCGATGACTGGTGTAATCCACCGTAAGGATGAGGATGACTTTTATGCAACTCATCATCGATAGTATCCGTTATTGTTAATACAGAGACTTGTTCAAGTGGTTTTGAGCTTCGCCGGTTTGTGGATTGTTTCGGGATCATTGTATTTAATGAGGTTAGAGATTTAGAAAAATCTTGACTTATAAGCGCATTACTCAAGCCTCTTTGTACAGGATAATAATCGTTACTGCTATCAGTATTATTAGTCCACATTCGTGGACTGTGTATGTAATAAGCGTCTTTTGGTGAATATAATCTATTTGCATAATTCGTCTTCTGTTGCTCCCGCTCCTCCTGTTCCCGCATTACTGAAGGTCTTATAATTGTAATGCCAAACTTTTGTTTCAGCGGTGTGCTAGTACACAATTTTTCGCTGGATGAATGAAGGTTATTCGAACTTTTATCTTCATTCATATGCCATATCGATTGTATGTCATTCATATTTGCTCTGTCTGCATTTCTCATCCGATTGTTGTCTCTAGTGTAGACATCACCATTATCATCATCATCATCATCAGGAGGAGTAGAGTTCTTATTATTGTCGACATTATTATTATTATGCGTAAATCCACCGGTGATTTTATATCGAGGTAGATGTGATGAACAACTGATTTCATCATCGTTCAGCGTGGCTAGATTGATCTCTGAGAAGAACTTGTAAGAATAAAAGAGAGAAAAAGAAGAACAGAGAAGAATTATTGATTCCAGTTTCAAATTATAGAATAAATAAGTTCACACTGTGCTGACTGAGTGACTGGTTTCAACATACAGCTTTGCACCAATGTGCAGCAGTTCAAGTCGTCACACAAAGCAAGAGAAGAGAGTAAAACGAGATTTAAAACAGAGATACGAGGCGAAAATAATAATATAGAAGAACAATACAGTTCCATTGGGTATTATAAATCACAAGGAGTGGATGCATCTGCGCCACTCATTAAGAATGATTTCGAACCAACCATATCACCAATTGTCTCCAGTCGTCATTGGTGTTTACCGTCACAACGATCCCAACCAGTGAGAAAATCTGCACCTCCCTACGTGACTAGCTGGCTTGAACTAACTGTTGTGGATTTATTTCATTGAATGATGAAGCCATGTTGTGGTTTCACCACCACTGGTTAACTCTTTTCCAACCTGATCCATCCTATGTAAGTCAGCTACCATTGCCCACTGTTGAGGAAGGCGATGGCTACGCTAGCATGTGTAACACATGTCCTAATCATCTCAGTCGACGTAGCTTCACAGCCTCGTCGATTGATTTCCCTCCCTGCTTACCTAGCAACCGACCGATGCCTCATCTCAATATTGCTCATCCTATTAAACCACTTCACATGGGAGATAGAACGCAGGCACATATGATCAAAGACAGCTAGCTGGTCTTTTCATGTTCTCTACTGTCAATGTCTAGGTCTTACTCACAGCCAAGCTAGAGGCTTGAAGCTTCGGCAGCAGTGGTATTTATTTTTACGAGATGAGGTTGCTAGCCTCATACCCAACGTTTCCTCTTTACTAGTCTTATTACTGGCTTGGAGAGGTTAGGGAGTGCGTCAGCAGGAGATTGAACCTCGGACAATATACATTGTCGGCGAACATTCTACCACTGTGCTGCCGACGCACCAAGTCGACAGTGTTAGCCATTAATTTTCAAGTCAGTTGTGTTCCCCTACCGAAATAAAACAATAATTTTTTCTCTCCCCCCCAACAATAAATGGTTAGTAACTTCTCTTTCCTAAGTGGAGTCCAACATTCTCCGCACTTATAACTTTTAAAATAAACCTCATCACCTGCATCCGAAATAATTTTTAAGCTTCAATAAGCATTCCTGAATTCTGAAGTTTTATAAACGTTTTATGTGATGATAAGGAACGCATTATATGTTTTTGGCGTTTTATCAAGCAAAAATGGAACTTCCTTGTCAATTGCCTGCAATTGTACAACTCATTATGACTAAAAAATATGTGAATGAATAGGAGGAGGTAACCAGATGGGAAACTATATAGCTAGGTACCTATTTCTTAATGCTAATCGATTGATTGTAGAATGTGATCACTAAAGTGAGCAGTAAAACACCATTAATTTTAGATATTACAGTCCAACTGCTTATAATTCTTAGATCAAATTTACAGTTTTTGAAATTAGTTGGCAGTTTGCAATAAAGCCATGTACTACTAATTGGTTGAAATGAGCAATTGTATGCCAAACGATATCAACCATTAGTACTCACTAACACCACTAATGAGGTCGATTCGACACGAGCGAAACACCCAACTGGTGTTTAGATCAGCTCATTCTGGCTCGCAAACACTACTTATTGATACTGGTGCAGCTTCACCTCTCAATCTCTCAGTAGTATATAGTGATTCACGGATAATTCCTGAGTTTTGATTTTTTATTTGTCGTTAATTAACAGACTGGTGTGTTTCTAAGTCTCAAGTAATTCTCGCAAATTACCTGACATTGGTTAGAGAACCATTGGAAAACCTGGAATTACTGGACATCTGTTTCAACCTAGTTTGGGACCATTCAGCGTAACACATCCACTGGAGTTCGAACCCGGGGGCTTCCATTTACGAGCCCAGCTTGTAGACTACTAAGCAACTACTATAGAGTTGTTCGTGAATCCCATGCTCTGTCAATTCACAGTATGGCGCAACCAGTAGTCATTGTCACCAGTGGTGAGTATTTTTTTTCACATCCAACCTGCTGTATCGCATTGGTCACGACTTCCCACTAGAACCGAGGTAACACTACCTATCTGAATGGGGTCAGTCGTTAGTGAGCATCTGATTGATTGACTGGTCGCCCACCAGTCAAATCCTCACAAACCAACAATTGAATATTAATTCATGATAACGCCGCAAAATGGATTAGTCAAGCAGTCCTGTCATTTAGATAGAGTTTTACATTTTACTGACAGATTTCAAACAACGCTGATGCACGAAAAGCTAAACTGTCTTTTCATTGCAGTCGGATTTTATTCCACCATTCACTGTCACATCCGGATAATTATGACATACGTCACTCTAAGTGATCGGGATTGAAATCTTTCAACAGGCACTGTTCCCCACAACTTCGGAGTTATACGGAGAAGAATAAAATCTGGATTTACAACCTTCCATCAATTCAATCTTTAGACAAATTCTTACCCATCCCGTTTTGTTTACGTTTTGAGAACCGTTCAAACATACAGCCTTCAAGAGTGTATTATCTCTCAATACAGTAGTGCAAAAGTATTTTGAAATAATATCTGCAATTTGCGGATCGTGTATTTTAAAATGAGCTGGGTATCGAACTAGGTACATCACTGATGGGGTGAGCTTCAAACGAGAGAAATAACTGTTCAGTGCTTAGACCACTTGGAGATATTTGGCTGATACTAAATGACTTGACAGTAGGTTCAACATGTGCAGGTGAATAGACGCGTGTTTCAACTGATAATGCCATCCATAGCCAAATTATTTATCAAACGGTGGTTCCCCCCAATAATTCAATTCACTAAAAATATATTTCTGAATTTCGCTTCACCCATATTTCGTCTAGATCTCAAATACTGAGTAATACGAGCACTCAGAAAAAAACTTATACCAGTCAGTAGCGCTTATTATCTATCTAGATAAGATCTAAGCACCGGATAGTTACTTTACTCAATAGGGACTCAGTTGATGGGCAACCAACATATACTGACTAACCGCAGAGAGCAGATTCATACATATCAAACTAGCTGAGAGTCGATAAATACTTCAGATCTCATAACCAAATAAAAGTTTTGAAAATATACTTCTCATGATGGCTTACTTAACAGATATCAAATTGATGTCAAGTATTTGGAAGATTTCCTTGCTGGACTCCTGATCCTAATTTTCCGGTTGTTCTACCTCCCTCCAGCAGAGTGTATCTACAACCTCGAAGGAGCTGAAGCCACCTAGTAAATCTGAACTGGTTTCACACAGTGCTGCAGACAAAAACGTTACCAACGAGCTACTTTGGATCAAAATTGATCTCCGAACGCTCTGTAATGGTCTAAACCAACATTAAGAGATAGAAAAATGATAGTTTTTCCTATCTTTGCTTCCTGGACGGAACGCAGGCTTCAAGCTTGGACTTTGAAGATTCACTAGTGGTAGTGTTTCGTTTTTATGGGGTGAGTTTGCTAGCCTTTTGCCTGACTTTATCTCTTTACCGAGGTTTAGGAGTGTATCAGCTGCGAATAAAACCCGAATCGCCTCTATGGTCAGTGAGCGTTCAATTACTGAGCCACCAACACTACATAACACTGGTTAAACCCTGATGAGTTATCAAAGTATTAAATTCATATATCCATCATTCTGTTGGAATGAAAGGCCTACTAGAATATAAATTATCCCATGTAGCATAGTCTATCCTACTTCAGACATTACTGACTACATATCAGTTCGTCCGCAGACTTTCCATGATTACTTACTTTTGATTTACTCAGAATTCCTGTCTCCTTTTTCGGTGTAGAATAATCCATTGTACACTTTTTATATTCATTACGATATTCACTGTTATGCCTTCCAGGCGTCAGTTGACGTTTTTCTACTTGACGTTCCGAGGTATTATTGTTGTTATCTTCTTGTACTGCTGATGTTCGCTTCTTTACAGCATTGAGTCGGCCTTCAACGAAATCTTTATTCAGTTCACCATTTGAAAGATATTTTCCCATGTATTTTGAATCTTTGACTGCTTTGATCAGATTATTCTTGTCTTTTGTATCGACTTGAGGACAATTGCCATTTTGAGTAGATGGTGGAATTTTGGAGGATGTAACTTTTTGGAGGAGAAAAACAGGACGAAAAAAATGTGGATATCATTAATTGTGAGCACTATTTCTTTAAACAATGACAGAATTTATATATTCTAGTATTATTTATACACAAATATACACAAATAATGAAAAGTTGTACGTCGGTGGCACATCGGTAGGATGCTAGCCTAACACGCAGGTGGTCCGGGGTTCTATCTCGGCTCGGCGCACTCCTTTACTCTGCTAAGCCAGTGACAAGACTGGTAAACAGGTAAGGTTGGGCCTATTTTCCACTGGGAACGTTCGGGCACAAAAAATATGAAGTCATGTCCCCTCCTTTACTATAACACGGTGAACTGGGTGTCTATTGATACTCTTGGAAAGAATGTTACTCAATAGTATTAAAAGGAATACAGTTAGGTGAAGTGACAGAAAGGTTAACCACTGAGTCTTTGTTAATTGGTGATTCAACACCGCACATGTGCAGTCCAAACGACGTGACGCCGCCTACACCGGAGAAATGGAAAGTGGCAACAAACGATACAGAATGGTACTCGCGGAGGCTTCGGTAGCAAGATGAGGAAGGCATCGTATGCTTTTGGAAGTGTGTGGGTGGTTGTTACTTCCCGGATGCCCACACCGTGGAAGCTGATTGACCATTCAGGTACCTGAAACAGAAAGAAGGTTAGTGTTGCGTGACCACAGAGCCCAGGGGACAGCTGCTTGAGGCCGGTCACACATAGCCTGTATGAGCTGGTTTCTGGGATTGATTCCGTATTGGTAAACTTACCGCCGGTTATGGACCACCGTAGGGTAAGTCGGGATGTACAGTTGTTGGGGTCAACCTTTTCTAACCCCATCTATCCAGAGTGGAGGGATAGCATATCTGGCATGCCGGTCATCTGAGGGAAACATTTTACTGCTGTTACATCCCTGTTCCCCAGTAGTATGACTTCGCCCACTTGCCCCCCCTGCATAGTGTAAAAAAGTCCTTACACTAAGCTGGTAACTGCTTTTAGTCTAATCGCTGTCCTAGCAACCTTCCTGGCATGGTAGGACCTGCAGGAACAATAGTTCCAGCCATTGTAGCTTGTTGGGTTATTACGATATGCAAGCCTTACCACCACGTCAAGGTAGCAGCTATCGGTCGAGCAACAAACAATAAGGGGAGAACGGAAAGAGAGAAATGGAGAAAAATGTGTAGGACAAATTGTAAACCCATGTGACTAAATTGATATGATTATGAGTAGCAATAATTTATGCTGGAAACCTTGTCATCCAGTTGTTAATACTTCATCATTCTGTGATATTTAAAATGAATTTATCTAATTTGGGCATACAATTCAACTTGGTTGACGATGAGCCATACCTGTTTTGCTCCTTAAACCTTGACAAGCGAAGCGGGATTCTTACCCGTCAGTCTACGGTTGGAACTCAGATGCTTGACCTATGAGCCGTATTTTTTATTCCTTCATGTTCCCAGTGAAACATACGTCTTCAAGCTAGATGCTTGAAGATTCCGTAGCAGTGGTATTTATTTTCACGAGATTGGGTTGCTGGCCTCATGCCCAGACTTCTCTCTTCACCAGTCTTATAAGTGGCTTAGTGAGGGAAAGGAGTGCGTCGACCGGGGATCGAACCCTGAACCACCTTTGTGTTTGTCAAGTACTCTACTGCTGTGCCCCCAACGCTCTACATTCATACGTTATATCGTGAAACGGTGAAAGTGAGAACTTATACAGCACTATATCCCGACTCGTTGATCGGATAGTAGACAGGCTAGCCTAGCAACACGTAAGTCGTGGGTGTACACTGATGAGAAGTGCTAAATTAGGAGGAAATAACCGTCCAGTTATCCTAGGTTTTCAGTGATTCTTCAACTGATGTCAATTCATGATGCGATTAGCATACAAATTACTCATTGAAAAATGTGAATTCTTCTGCCCTTTAAAGGCAAAAAGTGTGAAAATGAGGATTGTTAGGCTTAACTTCACCTGGGAAATTAACTTCTATGACTGTGAACGACACTTTTGTGTGAGAGAGCTGAAAGGGGCTAACCAGTTTATCAGGTTTAAGTACATGGAGAGGAATTCAGACGTGGGACTCATTGTCTGGACGTCAAATGCCGAAGCTGTAGATGACTGTCTGACGCTGTAAAGATTTCTCTTTCAAAATATGGGGACTATTAATGCGTGATTTCAATTGATTTTATTTTATTAGTTTGGTTACAAAACGAAATCTAAAGTACTGAAAGATTTGAATTTTTAAAAAATATCACAAACGGGTAGTCATTCAAGAAACTGAAATTCAACGCTAAGTACTCAAGTAGATAAAAATATAAAACATCTCAGCTATCGTCTTTTAGTGCTGAGTAAATAAACAACGTATCAGGCAGATAAGGACAGAAAATATTGAACCTACAAGTCAAACAAGCATCACTTAATCCCAATGAGATTGAAAAATATCACAAATTTACATGCAAAACCTACCAAGTCGTATCTAATGACAGCCATTATACTAAACAAATTGAAAGAATCTACAACAGTAAACGCACCTTTTTGTAACTTCCCTAGATTTTAATAGTTTTTTTATAGTCTACTGATTTATTTTTCAGTAGTTAAAGTCGCAAGTAAAAATTACAAAATTTCTTATAATAATCCCAGAAAATCAAAATAAGGTGTGAGTAGTTCTGCTGAAGAAGGTGTGGCTTACACAAAAAGATTCTAGGAAAGTCTTCTTTTAATTTTTTTTGAATACGCTAGGATTATTTTAAGGAAGTGTATATTGACTGAGTCTGACTTGGTGCTCAGATAATCCTAGGAAATTAATAAAACCTATGTTCCCGATATTCATAAACTTACACGCGAAAATGTTATCTGCGTGTGGTTTGATAGGCTTCATTTAATAAGAAAAGTCTTTAAATCAGATTATTCCGAAATTCACCCTAAACCAGCTGCATAGGGATTGAAAATATTCCTCTACTACTGAAAAACGATTTCAGCTGTAAACTCTAGTTCTAATTAGTTGGAGGATTTCATCATAACCTGACATCAGTTAGAGAATCAGCGGGAATCCTGGAAGTACTTGACAACTGTTTCGTCCAGATTTGGGACTTTTCATCAGCACGCACTCACCAGGTTTCAAATCGAGGACCTTCTTGTTACAAGGCGACCTCGTACACCATTAGGCCACTAGGACTCGAAACCCAGCGGTGGCGTACTGTTGAAGAATCTCAAGCTAAGCTGACGAAACAGCTACCCAGTACTCTCGGGTTTCCAGCTGGTTCTCTAACTGATGTCAAATCACGATGAAATCCTCCAACCAATCAAACAAACAAAATGCCTACGAAAAAAGGCGATACTTGTAAATCTGGTTCGGATTCTCTTTCAATACAGATTTCCGCCCTTCAGTTGCAGCAGTCATCTCTCCACACTGGAAATTTTTTATTACTCTACGGATTAACTGATCACTACCTGTTGCTTCCTTAGGACACAGACAATGAATGAATTCTTTTTTAAGAAACGGTCAATAGATTAACTGCAGATTTCTCTTCATTGTGACCTTACTATAGTGAAAGTAAGAGTTCAATATAGACCCGATAAAAAATGAACAAGAAGTTCCAATTGAAACAGATGGTTTTCTTGAAATAACTTCGGTTTACTAGATATATCATATACTAAAATGATTAAAATTTGTAGCTGCGGTTTTCGTTTGCTTATCTAGTTGTTTCTTGGAATTGAAAAGCCTTTAACGGGGGTGTAATTGTGTACTCAGAGTTTCACGGTTTGACTGCATAGCTTTGATTGTTCTTTTAGACAACATCTGCAGCAGTTATATCAGTATGAAGTGGACTAATTTGAATTCTCCATGAATGATGTGATTGTCTGTTCTGACAACCTTTGTCGTGATTAGTTTTTGATTTTTAATCAGTAATGATCAGTTTCATTAACTTGGGAGATTCGACATTTTATTGTGTGGTTTATTCTTTACATGCATCTGGGGGAGCAGTTACATTGGAAGAACAGAAAGAAGAGCATATCTACGATTTTCTGAACATGTACCAAAAAGCTTACGTCTAAAGGGAACAAATGCTTTAGGCAGTGCCATCGCCAGGCATCTTCTTGACACGGGTCATGAGGTGGACGTGGAAAAGTCATTCAAAATTATCAATAAGCAAAAGAGTTCAATGCTCCTTAAGTTTGCTGAAGCCTTTTCCATCAAGCGCCTAAAACCTGATTTGTGCGTTCAGAAAGAAGCAGTTATCAGTCTTTCTTTGCCCTGGTAACTGGATATTTTTCATCCTAATGCGAGATACTGAAAAGTTTTCATAGTGTATGATTATTATTGTTGTTCGGAATAGTGTTTAATATTGCATATATATATGTATATATTATTAGTGTATGCATATATTGATCGACTGATTTTTGTTTAAAATGAACTCTGTGCAAGTATGTTAAAATTGTTTTTGTAGATACATTTAATAATGTCTTTGCCCTGTAAGCAGCTGACGAGAAGGCAACGAAATAAAAGTTGGTACCATTTTATTCTGCTAAAACTGTAGTTGTGGCTTTGTTCATATTCTTTATTAGTTGAATCTGAATATCATAGATTCATATGTGCACCAGACTTGCAAGAATCCCCTGGCGTTTGAAATTTCTACATTTTCCCAGTTACATTCACACTAAGGTGAAGGCTGAAGATATTGGTACAGTGGGCTTCAAGCTTCAGCTTTGAAGTTTCAGTAGCAGTGGAGTTGCTCGCCTCACATCCAACCTTCCCTTTTTACCAGACTTATTTATTTAATATTCCCTTGCATTCCGAGTGGAACATCATAGGGCCTCAGCAACACATCTCCACTTTGTTCTGTTTTCTGCCATCCTTTTCAGCTGGGTCCATGATTGACCCAATTCTCTTATCTCTTCCTCACACGATCTCCTACATGTCACGCTAGGAAGATCAACTTGCAGCTTCCTCTTTGAATTCCACTCGAGCAACGGCCTGGCGTGTTATGTAATTCGGTGGA